ATTCTGGGAGTTGAAGTCCACTCATCTTAAAGTGGCCAAGTTTGGACAACACTGCTGTATACTAATGTTTTCCTCATTGTATAATTTATCAGTGCTTGGACATGTTTACAGTTCTTTAGACAGAGTTGCCTGTTTAACTGCCTGCAATCTGCCTTAAGCGATACCAGCAGGATTATATCTTAAATAGGTGCTACATAATTGTAATGGTGGCTGCTTGGGCATCAGTCCGAAGAATGTACAGTATTACTGGCATCTGAGCTAAAAAAAAAAAAAAAGACCAGACCACTAGAGGGTGCAAAGATCTCTCTCTATCCATTTCCTTTTTGTTTGTTTGTTGTGTTCTGATTTAGTTTGCTTTCCATAACAATCAATGGGAGTGAATAATTTTAACCAGCTTAAAGAGGTAGTATAAATTAGTCTACTGTTTGGAAAGTGTGACAGAGGTCAAGATTTAGGAGGACTTTGTAATGAATTGCTTCTACGATCCTTTTATGATTTTTGGGGGGGTATTCTAAAGTTGTGATTTCCAGAGCTTGGAGGGAGCCTGCTGTGGAGACTGATGAAGAGGGAGGAAGAAAGACCTGATGTCAGGTTTTCCTCTGCAGGGTTGACATTTTATCTGCAGAAATCTGAGGAGGCATATGCTTCTTACATGGCTATCCCAAGGGACCACAGAATTGTCACCTTAGAGATTGCTATACTGGTTTGTTTAGGCTGTTCCATACTTGTCAGAAGGCCCAATTTGCAAAAACCAGTCAGTATATATTAGAATTTCATTCTAACTTATGGAATTAGAATGCAATACAATCTCCGTTATTCCTTCTACTATAATGAATAGTCACGCTAGCTGTAGTTCATGCATTAGAGTGAGAAAGGCTGCTTTAGAGTAACACGTTTCCATTACGTATTTAGTTGAATGCACATACTGACTAGCACTTTTATTAATACCATATATTCTAAAATCAGGGAAAAGGCCAAGGAACTGTGGCAGAGCATTCATGATCTAGAGGCTGAGAAATTTGATTTACAAGAAAAGTTCAAAAGGCAGAAATATGAGGTAAGTCTAAACATCTATATCCATATCTATATAGCTTTGGATTCTGTACAGGGTTACCAAATGTTGCCTACTCCTAAGACTGAGTGAAATGAAAGGAAAGACTTCTTCATTAGGTCTTTCAGGAGGATTAAGACATTTTTATTTTTTGAGCAAATTTTCATAATTAAAGTCAAGTTATGTCAATGTAGCATGTATGATTAAAAGGCCTGTAGTCATGTATAGCCTACTTTGCTGTCAACAACACACAAATTCTACAGCCCACAAATACAAACTGTGCAACCACAAGAGTTATTTTGGAATCAAAGAAGCTGCATGAAAAATTCTTCTATCTGACCTGGAAATAGACTAACAAGAGCTGTTAGTAACTGATTGTGGATGTCTCAGCAAAACGTGCAGTACAGCAGAATACAGTCCCATGATTTAGTGCTTCCATCTGTACAGGGGCAAAGGTTTTCATAAGTGTTTCTGAAAGAACAAAGCAATCCACCAAGAAGTAGAGCAGTGTTTCCATTCCTCTCTGTAATAATCACCCCATGGAGCTAAAGGAGAACTTAGTTATTCTTTTAGCTACATGATCCCTAATTGGCTGGGATTACCTGTGCAACTGATCCAGGAAGAATAAGAATTGCTTTCATGCTCAATTAGCTTCTTTGCTTTGAGAAACATTATCGTGTCATCCCCCAGGAAATACCGTTAATGACAAAATCCTTGATTCACATTTCTGTGATTAAGAAATATCACCCAGGGAGTGGGTGGACTGAAGCAGAATGGACTGAAAGAATCATGTTTATGATTGGATCTCAGAGAAAGTTGAACTTTTTCCTCATTTGGGCTTTTCCAGAAATATTTTCTTTGCACTGAAGTCACTACTTTCACTTTGAAAATGGAAATGGACAAACTTTCAACTTAACCTTGGCTGTTGCATTTCTTTTTCTTTATTGTTACTACAAAATGAACTATTTTCTTTTGCCCCAAACAAGAACAGACAGGCATGAGTAATCTGACCTGGCTCATCTGAATGACAATCTAGATTTATTTCCATTTGGAACCATCATTGTAAGTCAGCGGTGAAGAGCTCTTTACATGAGTGCAGTTATTTCTGTGCTTCAAGTGGATATAGTTTAATAGGTCAAAAAAATCAGTTTAAACATGTTTTCCCCAGCCTAATAAATTTCATTTATGTTTGGACTACAGTTCTCAGAGTTTCTAATCAGCATGGGGAATTCTGAGATTTGCATTCCCAACATATGTGGACACACCAGAGTAGCGAAGGCTATTCTAGGCAGATGAAATCCTTCCTTTTTTTCTGGGATGAAGCAACCATCTCTTCTCTGTGTTGGTACTAGTGTCCTGTGGGCAGCTACCATTTGGCAGACATCACTCCCCCCACCTCTCATTTTTCAGTCTATGGATTGGGCAATAAAATGGCAGAGGAGATTGTAGCTTGGCTCCAAAATAATCCTCTAGATTTCAGTTGGGCAATTTAATGTTGCTATGAGAATTTTTCATGCCTTCTTCCAGAACTGAGCAGTACTAAATTCCAAAGGCAAACAGAGCTAATGAAAGCAGAAGTAGATAGGACATGACCCTGTCAATTCAAAGATAGTAGCTGAAGACTTTTGCTAGAACTTCCTGATACATCTGTCAGTTCTGACAATAGCCTCATGTATGAGTAAATTCAGGGAAATCACTGAAGATCTTTTGGGTGCTAGCTTTTTTTTTTTGCTAATTTCTATGTGGACATAGGTTTCAATTCACTCCCTATTGTACAACCTCTAATTTGCTTCTATATTAGAGAACCCTAACTCAGTGCATTAAGAGTGAACATGTTTTCCCCCATCTAGAACGGCTACTGTTGTTTATGTATGGCACAATAAAGTTTTTGCTAAATGCAGGGGCAGGGGGTGGGGGTGGGTAGAGGTTGCCAATGCCTATTGTACTTCTTTTTCATAGCAAACATCTACAACAAAACTTTACAAGAGAAGAGGGTTTGTGTTCAAAATGACAGGCATCTTTTTTCAGGATGTACCATTCCATCTCTCCCCAGTTTTTCAACACTCTGTTCCATAGACAGACAATTCTACTGCCACTGAGCATGCTATGTTTTACTAAGCAATTTTTGGGACTTCGCTTAGGATTTTTATTTTTTTTAATTTTACGGAGGCATCTTTTGCAAACTTGGGATTTCCTACAAATCTCTTGACGCCTCCATCATCTGCATGGATTTTGTCTAGATAGGAATTTTATTCAATGAGTTTGCTGTTAGCATTTATGATCAGCTATCTTTCTCCTTCTCCTTATGGATATTGGCCTTATTCAGGTATCCTTAACTGAATATTTAAGACTTATTTCTCAGGGTCATCACTTCTGTGTTTCTCTTAATATTTCCTTTGCAAGTGTTTTAAAGCTTATATTAGCAATTGGCTCTTCATCCAGCCTTTGGCGAGGGAGAGTGAAAACCCTCACTTCATCACGCTTGCCATTTTTAAAAAATGCTTTATTGTAATTTCTTTGTTTGAACTGCCCTGAGTCATTGAGAGTTGGGCAGCATACAAGTTTAATAAATTGTTATTAATAATATTTTCATTTGATATTCACTTATACTATTTGCAGTCCAAACAAACAAACAATAAAGAACACAGCATAGCATAAACCAGTATTAACAATATAGTAATCAATATAAAACATTATCTAATCCCAGTAGTATCACAATTTAAATCACTGTCAAGTATTGCCCTGAAAAGTTCTTCTAGCTTCATAAAAGCCATGAAAAAAATATTTAAGGGCCTTTAAAAACCTCATCGTTCAAGATGGAGGCAGTTCCAAAGATAGGAGCTAGATGGGAGAAAGCTCTGAAATGTGGGGTGTCTCTTCTAACACAAGAGAAAACTAAATGATCCTGATTGCACAAGTAAGCCAAGCATGCACAAGTGAACAAAGCATGTGAGCCAAGCAAGCATGAATTGTGATTAAGTTATTCAAATAAGTAGGCACTCTTATGGCCTGGAAGGTCAGCACCAGCAGTTTAAACTAGTAACACACCCAAAGATTCAGCCACTTTAAGAATTGGCAAAAAGGGGGTGAATTGGAAGAGATCCAAGACTACACAGACTGTGCTGTTCTGGACCTAACCCAGAACACAGAAAGCAGAGTCAGGAAAACTAGCTAGCAAACTGCAACGGTAGTCCAGGAGAGACACCACCAAGACAGGAACTAATTGCTTAGCCTCTCAATGGTTGGAAATGGCTGAATTCTCCAGATATTCACAAGGTGAAAGTTACAAGTTTTTGTGGATTTATCCATGAAAGGCTATAATATTCTCCTTTCTCTAACCCTAACCAGATTTCCATACTCACTGCACGCTGTGATGAGTTAAGCAAGTAGTAAGTATAGCCTGTTTCCTGAAAACATCATATAAGGTGTGGAGCTATGTATGCAACTTCCTGCTCTCAATAATAGTGTCCTCAGTGATCCTGTGAAGTCTGGATGCTATCAATACCTTTTCAAATCACTACGTTGTTCTTTGGCATGATTGTCCTGCTTGGTTTGCAATGATTCTTATAATCAAGATGAAGTTCTGTGAGATCAGTTAGTCTTTTGTCTTTTCAGCCATCAGGAGGCTACATGAAAAATCTTTTGGAAGCTTTCTTCTTTAGTTTGGAACCCTGTACCAGAAGCAACAGAAACTCAGTAGCTTAACTGAACTGAACAAATACTGTTTTTCCAGTTATCCCTTTCTTTTACTCCAACCGTTGATCCTTCTCCTAAATAGATCCCCATTCTGCTCCTGCTTTTGGCAATGAAGGTTGCAAGATTCTTTCCTGTTATCATCATTATATATCACAAATTATCAGAAATGTTGTAGGTTAAGCAACAGTAAAATTGTTTGTTTATAGGTCGTGTTGTATCCCTGGGTATGACTTTAGTTGCTTTGCAATTTTTCCTTCTTTTTGGAATTCTGATAATTAATTAAAATAAATTATGACTGACTGACTGACTTTTTAGTTATCCACATAGTATTGCAACTTAGTTTTATGACATTATTAGTATTCTTCCCATATTTATGAATGCCTTGTGTGAACTTCATGGACAGGACATGTTTGCAGAGAGAAAAGTGCATAATGTTCAAACTAAAGAATATTGTGGAGATGCTCTAAGGGAAATACCAGTTTCAGGAAATGCAGTTCCTGCCACAAATAGCAGAGCTTTGCTTTTAAGCACCTGAAAGGAGAATATTCACTTATCATTCTCTTGCTGGAAAAGATCACAATGGGAACACAGTGAAGAAGCAATCTGAAAAATGTATACGAAGCCTTCAGAGATATGGCAGACCAGACAATTGGATTTATCTCTCCTCATCATGGATAGAAGACCTGTTGTAAGAAAAAAGTTACATTAATGTAAGGAAAAAGAAAATAAGGACTGAGGCTGATAAACATAAACCAACCAACTATTTTTCTGGTTCCCACTTCTACAAATGAAAATGTTAACCACAACCATTAATCACAAGTATTTTTGACCTCTGCTAGTGCAGCCTGCAGCCTTACTGACTATTGGGGATAATGCCTTTGGTCTATGTTCTTTTCTTGGCTTCATGCTGTGCTGACACAGTAGCTCTCTTGCTTCCTACTTGAAACATCATCACCTATCTATTTCTCTTTCAGATTAATGTTCTACGGAACCGCATTAGTGATCATCAAAAGGTGTAAGTACTCAGAACATGTAGTAATAGTTCCGCCATGTTTCATGGCATCAACACTCCTAGTAGATCTTCCACATTTATCCCTTTTCTGTTGTTCTTTGCACTTCACAGATCGTTTTAGCTTTAGTATGTGTTTTCCTTTTTTGTCTTCCTTTTTTTTTCCTGGTTCTGCTTCATTCATTTCTACTAATCCTTTGCTCTTCATTTCTTGCCTTTCCTGTTGTAGCAATCCAAGGCTAATAAATGAAGACAATGGATTCTATAACTTGGTGTTCAGGAGTCTTGAATGAAGCACTTCTACTATCCAGAACTTATATCATTACACTGATTTTTTTTCTTTTAGAAAAAAGTACCATTACTTTTCTTATTTTAATTCTTTGTCACTTGTTTCAACTGAGTTTTCTCCCTCTCTCTGACTGTCTTCTGTCTACCACTTTTATATACTTTGTTTTCCCATTACTATTTTATTCTACATGCTGGGTGTAGGAGGGACGTTAACATTTTTATAAAACAGTGTGAGATTCAGAGGAAGGTTCCCACTAGAATAAAGTGTGAGACAATTTTTGATGGGTCAGCAAAAATAATCTTCCTTTGCCATTAGTGGATCTTTTCCAATTATCTGAGTAGATCCACCCACAATCAATTTAGTATTCTCCAGTAAAGTCAGAATATAACTTTCAAAATTCTAGGCCATCACCGGAGTTATAGTCCCATATATCTGGGAAGTGACAGGTTGGTAAATCCAATTTGTAGAGCTTATGGCTGCTCTGTTTCTTTATGTTAATTCCTAATTTTCCTTCTCCAGCTGTAGTTTTCACTAAAGTTCCTTTGCACCTCCTGAAGCTATTTTTCTTTTCATCCCTGAATATTATTGGTTTCTTATAGATCCTCATTCTTCTCATTCTTCCAGGGCACCTCTCTATATAAGGATGCATTTCTGATAATTATCTAGGACATAGCTTGTTTCAGTCCAATTTTACCACAGTATTTCAGCTACATGGTGTCAAAAATTCAGCCTTGAAGTGAAAACCGTTCCTCACCTATGGATCTTATAATTCATTTTCTAAGACACAGAACATTCTGCATCTTACTTGATGTGTCAGAACCATTCTATACAGTTATGAACTATCAGTTAATATTAGTATCTTTCCATTCTCCTTGCCTATGACTTTCAGTTCAGAGATGGAGAATGAAGGCACAGAGAGACTAAAAAACTCCCTGGTGTTATATGCATTGCTTGTGACAATCAGTCTACACCAAGTGGGAAGTCTTGATAATTTTCATCATTGAATGGAGCCTGCTTCTGCTTACTGATGTGAGCAAAGAATGTAGCTATTTGTAGGCTGAAATTGTTCCAGATTCCTATTATAGCCCAGCGGTCCAGAAACAAACTGCATCTTGATTAGAAATGTCTTGATCTCTGGAGGCCTTTTTAGGCTCATCAGACGAAACTTGTTGGTTAGACATATCTACTGTGTGCTACTAAACTATATTTCTTCTTTTGTCTCCTCATTTATTTCAGGAAAGGGTAAGTAGCATGTTGTGCCCTTTGGGATGTATTGATGTGCTGTGATAGTGTGCACTGTGCCAATACTTACAGAAATGGCTTTAAGTATCACCCCTTGTTATCTTTGGTTTCACAGCAAATATTGATTTCTTGTTAGATGTCTACTGATGGCAAACTTAGGTTTTGTGCAATGCTTCTTATGCTCCAATTTCAGTCTGATTCCTGGATAATTTGTGTCACTGAAAATTGCTATTTTCTCCCCACCTTCCAAATTTTGGTGGCATGATCTGGGGGTGCTCTGGAGGCTGATAATTAGGTGCTTGGGCTACTACAGAAAGTGGAGGACAGGATAATTTTGTCAGGTCAATAGAAGATGAGGTCACAGGGATAGGCAAAAACAAATACCAAAGGCTGATGGAAATCTGGGAAATCCCTGTGAATCTTTTCAGTGCAATAAATATCATTCTTAATCTGCCCTCAAATTTAGAAACAGCTGTTGCCCTTTCAGAGAAATAAGACAAGTGTACTGGCCAGTCAGAGAGAGTAACGAATTAGACAAATGTTTAGAAATTGCCTGGTTGGTTTGTCAATGACACAAGAGACTCAGCCTGTCTAAAGCTGGATGATATCACTAGCTTGCCTTAGTGACATTGCATTCTTGCTCTTTAAAATGTTTTCCGACTGGCTCATACATGGCCTACTTCCAAAACACCATGCAATTTTATTTTACAGAGCAGCCCACTTGAGGGAATGCTCAATATTAAAACTGCATGGGCAAAACCCCATTTAGCATTCTTCCCCAACCTGGTATCCTCCAGATATTCAGGACCAATTCCCATAATCCTCCAGCAGCACAGACTATGGTATATGTGGGCCATATTTTCAGCTCCAAGGATCACACAGCTTGCTGGGGAGTATACACATAGGCAAAGAGTCACTTACATATATCCATTTATATTATGCTGGCTGGGGAATTCTGTGAGTTGAACTCCACACATCTTGCCAAGTGTGGAGAAACACTGATTTATATCCATGCAGTTCTGAGCTGGTTATTGAAAGAGAAGGAGTGAAAATTCATGCTACCAAATCTAAGTGGATTACTAGGTGGGAGAGGAAAACACGGTGGCTTCTTATCCCATTGACCAGCTTTCTTGGTTACAAGAAAGAAGCTGTGTGGTCACTTTACTGTAGGAAGCTGTGGGAAGACAATGATTCCATTCCTACCAGTCAGCTAAATGTGTTCTTTAATTGTACGGAGAAAACCTGTTTGCTACTTTCCCATTACTAAGGGGAGCAATCTTTTTTCCACAGGGCCGAACTGATAACGGTGATCAGTTGGCTTGTGAGAAAAGTTAGTAAGAATTCACCTGGCTTTGTGGGAAGTTAGCTTTTGCTCAGTGCAGCATCAATTCAGGCATAAGTGGAGAAAAGAATCTTTTATACCTCTTCTTCTTCTTCATAAACTGGAATAAGGGGAGATTGATTTCAGTTCTTCCTCTAATTTTGCTAATGTCTCATTTCTTTCCAATTTAAATTGAAAGGGGATAAATATTTTGAGGAGGAGAGCTAATACAGCATAGTGTTTCCTCTGACACTCTTTTATTAAAATGAAATTATACTGTAAAGTAGTTACTTTAAAATTGGCCAACTTGCTGCCAATGGACTGAATTACATAAATTGATTGATAACGTGCCGTCAGGTTGGTGTAAACTCTTAGTGACCACACAGATAAATTATCTCCATGACAATCTGTTATTTACAAGCCTATATGTTTTTTATGGTAAAAAATAAATATTTGAATAAATGTACAAATAAATAAAGAGCTGGGAAGTATACTTTATGAAAAACATAATCACAAATTAATAATTAAAACACTGCTGGTCACTTCATGAACAATAAATCATTTTATCTTACCTCCCTCTGGCCCCCTTTTGCCTTAAACCTGAAAAGAGTTCAATGGCTGGTAATCTTAGCCCTGCTTAATACCTTTTGGCCAACTGATGCGTTTTGCTTTATTCAGAAGGAATATCCCATTTTCTAGCTTAATCAGAAATAAGTAGAAAAATACATTGAAAAGCAAAATAAAACCACTTTTATCACACATTCCCCACAGGTTAAGACATGTTGAAGCATGTCAAATACCTTCTTCGAATAAATAAATAAATAAATAAATAAATAAATAAGTGTAGTGCAGAACTGTATTTTGGTGCAGATGCTGAGAATTATTTAGCCCCACTTTCCTTATAGAACTATAATTCCCAAGGCTCATTAGAGGATAAGAATCATTTTGAAATCTTGGATATAGTTATGGCTCTTCAAGGTAATTTTTTCCCTGGGATTCTGCTTCCTCAGCACCCAGTTCTTATCTCGTTATACATTAAACATGATGTGTTTTTCACTGTACGCTTGCCTTGCTCTTCCCTCAGGGCACTGTCCACCCTGTGAGAACCAGACTGGTTAGCATGGGCTGGGCCCGGTCTCTGAAAAAGCTCTGCTGAGAGCTAAAAGAATCCTTGTGCAAAGCCCCCCTTTCATGCCCCTTTGTCCAAAGCAAAAGTAGATCCAGACCATCTCTCCCTACTCTCCATTGCATTGTCAAGACTTTTGCCAGAAATTCTTCATTTGTTTTTTCCTTTCCCAACAGTTCCAAGGCTGCCCGTGGAAAACCTGTGGTTGGTGGTCGATGGAAGTGAAATGTGGTTCCTGTCTAGACTCTGGAGACAGCAAACCAGTACATTTGATCCACTATCCCAGTCTGTGTGGCCCAGATAAATCCACCAACTTTTCTAGATTATCCAAAACAAGCTGCTTTCTAAAGGCCTCACTCTGTAGAATGACTGTAACTGCACAGCACCAGCACTGCACAATGGAAATTGCTGCAGCAGGATTACCCTGTCACTCAAGTTAATAAATCTGTATCTGTAAATAAAGCAACTCAAAAAGCAATAAATACTTTCTCTGCCTGATATTATCATTTGATTTTTATTGGGTAATTTTACAATCTTGAATAGAAAGAAACAGACTTCTTTGAGTACTGGCCTTCTTCATATATTGCTAAGAGAACCTACCTTTAAAAAAGACATCCCAACTTGTAATTTTGTTGCTATTAATGATATTGTTGTTGAAAGAAATATATTTATCCTGTCAAGACTGATCACTTAGAACCCTATTTGTAAGGTCACCCCAGATTTGAAAATACTAGTATGGACTGATTGTTTTTATACAACACTATCTATGCACATGGCGCTTTATAAACATATATGACATGTTCTTCCTCAAGTGACTTGTGGCATCTCCAGGTGACACTTAGTAGAAGTTCTGGTTCCTTCCACCTGCTGGCTCCTGAACTCAAGGTACACCCCTCCACACACACTTATCTTCAGTTTAGAATCTCTCTCTAGGGAATTTTCAAGACAATTCCTTGAAAAACACCCCAAACAACAGCTTGGTGCTTTGCAACAGCAGCAGCAACAGCAATTAATGGATCGATTAATCATTTGACCATATCAAGTTAGTGCTTTGCAACTAGCTGGGTATCATCCTTGCAGGATAAACCAGATAGGAATCACAACCAGATGAGCTAAATCTACTTTATTATAATGCTACATTGACAGAATCTTGCAAGTCTGAAAGTGCAATTCTTTCCCTCTTCTCCTGTACTTCCCAAGAAACTAGGGAGGGTCCCTTCTGAGCCTCTTGCCCCATCCACTACCAGCTGCAGGCTATGCTGCCTCTTATCTGACTGTTCCCTTGACAGCATCTCTTTGCCCAGTCTCCCAAGGTCTTTCCCACATTCCATTATACTGGGTTCTTGCTAAAGAGGAGGAGAAAGCAGACAGAACTCTTTGCCAATTTCTCCCCTGTTCACTTTGCCTTGGCCTCTGTGTACCCAGGAAGATTTGCAAGGATCTGTAAACAGTCAAAACCTGGAACAATCCTGGTTGTGTTCTCCCATGCTTGCCATTGTAGAAAACAAGTGCAATAACAAATCAACAAAAAGCCCATTCCTGGCATAATTGTGAAAAGCGCCTGGTAAAAATGCCAGTATGCTGTCCTTTGGCTTTACAGCTCATACGTAGTGGTTTTTAAATAGAAGTGGATGAATTGTGCTTTGCAGCCAGGTTGATTCCCCTTGTAACAGTCCTTCAGGCTTTGTTGTTTTTTTTCTTTTTGGTTTGCAAAATAATAAAAAATAAAGTTTAGTACTAAAAACATGGACGGAGTGGGCACAAGTAATTTATTGTCTTGTTCTTTTGTATGGTCTAGGGGATTGTTGTAACTTCAAAAACAAGGGAAGCTCTGGAAGAGGGACACTGATAGAATGCCATTTTTGCACTTTCCTACTGATCTGCTGGAGGGAGCACCAGCTGGCTCATACTGTTGTCTACTTGGGCTCAGTACTTTGAGGACATAAGCAGAAGAGAGGGCTGGTGTGGAAATGCCCCAAATCTCTTCCTCTTCTATAGGGAGGTTAGTATAAAGTAATGCTTACTAGTCTGGGTTTCAGTAACTGTAAATAAAGATTACAAAAGGGTAAAAGACCAGAGGAACTAGAAATAACAGAAGAGAAGACTCAGTGAGATGAAATAAGATTTGGAGATGAGTGGATGCCATAACAGCTCAGTTTTCATGGAAAACTTCAAGGCTTCTGGCATTTGCTGGAGTTTTTGTGGAGAGAAAGACCTGAAACCAGCCACCTGGCAAAGCTGTCACATCTTCTTAGGGTCCAATCCCACTGGCCATACAAGCTCTTCAGGCACAAACTTTTCTTCTAGAACATCACCAGCATCATATTATGGATTTATACTTTTTCTTTCCTTACAACTTTTCGGGTGTAGAGGGCAGTGACCTGGGCCCAATATGCAGTCAGTTGAAATAGTGTTGCAGATATGCAGTATGATTTATGCATTATTTGGAAGTAAGCACTTCCTACTGAATTTACTGATTTAAAACCATCTTAGAATATTCAGAAAATCATATCTGCTTGATTTGAGTGGCTAAATTTTCTTGGAAAAAAATAAAGGACAAACCTGAAAAAGGGGCAAATCTGAAAGAGGTTCATAAGAATAAAATAATTTAATTGTTTATGTTTATAACT